GTCGTCTATAAAATGTGTGCCTGTGCTGTACGTGATCATTAGTTCTTATGGTCGTGACTTACGACAACTGCATGGAACAGCATGTGCAGTAGAAATTGGCCGATGTTCCAACTTATGTTCTGTCGTACAAAATGTTAAACCTGTGAAATGTTTTTTCCTTCATGTGGTAGCCATAAAAGTCCAAATTAATTTGAATGTCAAATGATGTCTTACAGACAAAATCTTTGTGAAGCATTCGCTGCGCTCTGTATTGGAACTTTTTGTCGCAGCTCACGTTTTTTTCTTGCATGCTGATGATGGTTAGTAAGAACATTCTCAATGAGTCAAGGTTACTCTTTCACCACAGCAGGGTTACTAAAACCCTCTGTTGTAGCTTTAGCTAGTTTCTTACAGAACCTACGTGCACCTTCAACAGAAACCTTTATAAAATGAACCTGTAAAATCAGGGTCTTCTACAGAATCTATAATTACTCGTTATTTCAAATGCATCGCCACAACCACACAAAATTAGGAAGGAGGCGCAATACAACCCAGTGTCTCTTGCTTCACTACAAACTTGCAATGCATATTTTGGCACTCTTGCCCTGTCTGCATTGAGACATCAAGCGATAGAAGCGCTCCACTATAATGAAGTGAATGGTAAGCAGAAGAGCATTCATGTGAGCATAGCCACTGATACACAGTAAACTACAGTGGCAAGAGTAGAATGGTCACTCTGTTGTGCTGTAAGCAAAACATGACTGTTATAAAACTGTTGCTGATCATTCTAAAATGGTCCTGTTGGGCAATGTATCAGTCAGGTGACAATAAGGGAAGGTCCTTCAGAGAAACAGTTTTTAGCAAACTTGTGTGTTAAGAACCAAAACTCAAGGTGCACAATCCTAAGTCTATAGAAGCATCTTTGAAGGCAGAAAAATTATACCACAATCAGAGAGGTGTGTTTGCTGACACGCTCACAAGTTTTGCATGCTAAGAATGTTGCGTGAGAGAGTTTGACCCAAACAGCATATCTGCTGAGTTGAGCTGACTAGCGCTGTGTAGATACACGCAGCGACCATCTATCGTTAAAATAGGCATACCTCATTGACCAGGGATAATTTTCAGGCACTGCATATGTTTTTCTGGGTCAGAGTCCTTTTCACTAAAGGCTGACTTTATGGTTATTATAATCATTTACATATACGAAGATAAGCATAGTCATATGCGGAGAGTCATGGAGAGTGGGCTTGTCATCTTGCGAGGATAGTTATGAGGAAGAACATCACCTGTGAGTTTTTTTGTAGGAATAACCTGTGTGTTTTTGGGAAATATAGCTGAGTCAACGGTATCCACCATACAATGACATAAAAAAGTAAGTTACTATAGTAGAACATTGGAAAAGGGCTTTGAATGTTTGTGCACAATCTCCGTCTATGTGATGGTGCCTTTGAGAGAGGGATGCCAGATGCCTGCAAATCCGATAACCGTCCCCTGGCACATTTATGGTTACACAAAACACTTACTGATGATATGCCTTGTAACACATAGGAAGCAGTTGTGTCGCAGCAGGAATATAGGAAAAGAGGCTTGGTAACAGACTGCTTGTGTTTATTTCAGTTAGCGAGCTAAAATATGATTTTCTAGGTTTTGCGTGGCAGAATCTGTTCAGGAGTCAGTGTATTCACGTGTAAACCAAGCATTGCAGTGCCCCTTTTGCCCTTTTTATCTGGACTCAACACGCTTATTTACCCTTGGCGCGCACGCGCAGCGAGGGTTGGTTTGTCTGTCCGTCCGTCTGTGTGTCGATGCTATACAGGCTACGACGCGGCCTATTAGCGATACCAGCGGCTTCAGAACTACGCGAGCCTGAAAAATAAAAGGGAAATTTTCCTTAAACAACTGCGTTCGAGAGATATGCCGTGAAACGGCTGGGCTCACCGCGGCCTGATCCGCTCGCTCCTGTGTATATACCTTGGGGGCTCAGGAAGTCACAACGAATGGCATGTATCGACTCCCGCATGCTATCTATTACTGTAGCTAGCTGTGTCAGACTCTCCGCGAGCTACTAGCGGGAGACCGCGAGGTAAACGCGTAACAAATAGCCCAGCCCATCAATTAGCAGTATCGCGCATGCGCAGTTCCCCGAGGGTTTGCACTTCAGTGCTTTCAGAAAAAGTTAAAAAACACCAGCGAACTTTGAGTTCCACAGACTCTATGTACTGCGCACACACAATAATGTTGCAACAATGCAAATGAACATCCATTTTTTTATGTTTAATCATAACTGACCGCCCTGTGTACGTTGCTGTTTTACTGTAGTGCTAAGATTACATTTGATTGCGTATACATGTATGGTGGCATCACATGGTCTAATATCTTCATGTCTGTTTACTTTAGTGTTTACCCCCTTATTATAGACAATTCAGAAATGGTTAGTGAGTCTAATGACCATCAAAAGAACAAGATGCTTCTTAACTGCTGGTATCTATGAGTAACTGTCAATGTGTTTGAATTAAGAATATGGGGATGGTATGAAAAGCAAAAAGGCAAGACAGGGATGCATGAGATGCAGTAGTACAATGGGTAATCCTGGAATGTTTTCTCTGTACAAGCCCTATAATTGTCGCCACTCTTATTCATGACATTAGTTTGTTTAGTGAATGATGTAGTGTGAGGACTGGCAAAGGGATTCTAGAGGGCTGAGAATGCAGCGTTGGAAAACTGTTTAGTGGAGCAAATATGAACTATGTAGTCACAACTCAATAACCAGAAGCAGTCAGAGAGGGAAGCAGCTGTGGAATACTTGTCTCAAGTGCTAGGAAATGAGTCATAGCTGCCATTAGGGTAGCAGCAAACAATGTCAGTTTGAAACATGGAGCCATTATCCATTGTACTACTGCATCACATTCACTAGGTCATCCCTGTCTTGTCTCCTTGCTTGTTATACCATCCCTTTATTAAATAAATAGTACGCTTATGAACCACGTCTCAAAAATCTTAGAATATTGCTGTAAAATCAGGTTTGCCACTCATAGCAGCTTTTATGCTAGCACATACTGTAGAAGGACGAGGAATCCACTGCACATTATTGGTGTGGAACCGGAACCTTATCACTCGTGCACTGTTCTCTCAAATGTATGCATTAGCAATGTAGATCTACAAGTGACGCCTCAAACTAAGCCATGAACTTAACACGTACGCCCATGCTCTTGTGGTGGAAATTAAGAGTTGTGTGTGTATACGGATACATCAAATGAGAAAATGTGGGGTTTTAATGTTCTTTTTTTCCCACTGTGCACTACTGACACAATGAAAAGCACTAAAGTGCAAACCCTCGGCGAACTGCGCATGCGCAGTACCACTAATTGATGGGCTGGGCTGCCTTTAATCGTAGTCTCCGCTAGTAGCTCGCGGAGAGTCTGACACTGGCCAGTATATAGCATGCGAGTGTCGATACACGCCCTCCGTTGTGACTTCTTGTGCCATCAAGATACACAGAGCGAGCGGACGCGGTCGAGGTAAGCCTGTGCTAATTTGCATATTGGCTTGTTCAGTTGCTTTTCACGCCATAACTTTTAAACGCAGTAGTTATACGAAAATCGCCTGTTTTAAAATGATGCCAGTTTAGCGATGAACCCGTTGGTATCGCTGTTTTGTTGTCTCGTTGCGCGTAGTCGCAGAAAGCGTGGTAACAGACAGACGGAAGGACAGACGACAGACACACTTACAAAACCGTAACCCTCGCTGCGCATGCGTGCCGAGGGTTAGCTACCATGGAGTGCAACCACTGAAGTGCATACGTTTGGTGTATGGCATGATAGTGATTTGATAGAATTATTAACACTTAGGGAGAAATGTAGCTCTTTCTTCACTCTTGCTGGTTAGCAAGGGGGACCACACACAGTAGGCTCACTCCTCCTTTCTAATTAGGCACTTTTTTTGTATATCACTCTACAGGACCAATGTAACTGTGCTCAGTTGCACCTGTTATCAATACATATGGAACCAAATCTCCATGGTCTGTGTCCTCTGAATTGTCAAGATCTACTATCCTGGCTTCCTTCAAATCTAGCATTTTTTATACTTTCATTTTTAGATCCAGGTAACTTATTGTGTTATTGGGACACTTTCTGTTTCAACTGTTGTTTAAATCGTCTTCAGTGCTGTTTATACCAAGTACTTACGTGTAATTTCCTCTAAGGAATACTGCACCTGCAGTTTAAGTGTATGTACAATGTATTAATAGTTGAATGTTGGGTTCATGGCTATGTGTTAATTTATTCAGAGGTTACAATTGTTCCTTGATTTCATGTGTGACTTTCACCAATGTGCACAAGAGTGCCTGTGCTTGGGGCATTCTTTTCTAAAGGCAGTTTTACCCTTAAATATCATGACCTTAAACTGTGCAGTAAGCCATTCTATTATGCAGTACCTCATGTAAAAGTTGCAGTGTTCTTGTGCAGATGTAGTGGGGACAATTCCCACTTGTTCAAAGCTCAACAACAATGAGCCGCCTACCAACACATAATTTACAAGTAAATTTGAAAATGTTGTGAATTTAAAAAAAGTAAATGTTAAGGATGGATGGTATAAGGGATGAGAGGAAGAAAAGATAGGGATAGGATCCACGAAGCATGGTTAACGAACAGATTTGAGTACAGAATCCATAATTGTTGCCTAGTGTGCTACCAATTTGGACTCAACAACAGTGTTGGTTACTCAGTAGCATGCCCCAATTTATCAAGCTAGAGGCCCTAACACAAAATGTTTAGTAATTCACCCTGGCAACTATAGGGTGTCAACATGCTCAAAACTGCTCAATAACCATACTTCATGTAGCCCATCCCTATCTTGTCTCCCTTCCTATATGCCCAATTAAAAGTCCTGCGATTTAAAAAAAAGAGGCATATAGGGATGGTATAAAAAGAAAGGGAGACAAGATAGGGATGGGATACATGAAGCATGGTTATTGAACAGATTTGAGTACGCTGACACCCCCCAACCCCATCACACAATCCCTAAATTGTTGCTGATGTGCTACTCTTATAGGGGCTGAAGGTTACTAAAAGCAAGCATTCTTTCACCGTGTCCCTGTTGTTTTTAGTAACATTTATACTGCCACATTCCCTTTAAAAAAATTGGAAAATGCACAGCGAAAGATGTGACTCACTTGGTAGCATGCTTACTTTGTCTGCAGCCTTTCACAGAAGGCTGTGTAGAGGTCGGTCTTCCTCAACTTTGCTTACATGCAACCCTTCTCTAGCGAGCGCGCATCTCCTCCGAGGGTTTGCACTTTAGTGCTTTTCATTTACAAACATGAAGTCATCATGAAAATATACATGTGCACAAAGTTTAATCTCCACGTGTGCTACCACCAGCCAATCCTCAGGAATGAGCTAAACTTTTTGTACTTTTCACTAGGATGTGGAGAGAAAGACAGTTTGAGGAGCGAAGAAGTAGTTTTAAAGAAAAATGCCTGTGGCTCTTAATAAATGTACATCATGGGAACGATGTAAAACGCTGTATGTACCCAAGAGTCATCTCCATGCATGTGACCGTTAGCGAATTTGGGGGTAAAGAGGTATTAATGAAGAGTGTCTGAGGCTCCCAGTAAGTGGTTGTGATGAAAACATTTTATTATGCATGTGTACAAAGTTTCATCTCCATTGTGATACTGTTAGAAGTGATTTCAAGAAAAGCGCCTGAGGCTCTTTGTTGTTGTTCAAACAGTATGTGGTCGTCATGGAAACAATGTACTTGGTAACGAGGTAGAAAGGCAAGGCAAAGTAAACTAATCAACTACACCGAGGACAGCTCTTTCTTTTCAAAGAAAAAAGAAGAGCTGGGTGGGATTCGAACCCACGACACTCTGCAGTCTAGGCGAGCGCTCTACCAACTGAGCTACCAGGGCAACTCAGCTGGTAGGAGCTACAACCCAACACAACACAAGGCAAACCTCAAACCGCTGTGCTATGGCCCAGTATACTCTCATTCAGTATGTACCAAGTTTCATCTTCATGTGTGCTACCTTTAAGGGTGAAGTGCTGGCTTAATTAATTATTCATAAAACACAAACCGTCGCTGCGTGTATATAGACACAGCGTACCAGCAAGACATTCTCGGCGTTATTTAACAAAACAGACACAGTTCTTCCACTCTATCAGCAGTTGCAAACATAAAACGTTTGAGATACTGCGTGTCAAACCACACTACACAAACATTATAATGTGAGTCAATTCCCGTGCCAATGCAGTTTTATGACGTATCAAAAGTACCACCTACTCTTAGTATTTTAACCTTTTAAGAGCCCAAGTGCCTTTTTTCCTAACTTAGATTTCTCACAACAGGCGCCTTTTTCTCACACAAGCCACGGAAGTATGTAGCCATCGATCCACGAGCTTCACGTGTCCGTGTCTCGCAAGTGCTTCGTACTTTGGAAAATATTTCACCCTCTGTTAAAACGGAGCACGTTTTTTATACGGTATAAAAAAGAGTACAGAACGAGAAAACTGCAGAATGCAGAGCTAAGGGTAGCGTGCACTCCACCAGTTTCAAACCGCAATGGTACTGAACATGTGCAAGTTAATTGCATTGTTACCTACGTGGGCGAAACACTTCACCGTCCCTTAACAAGTTTGAGGAGCGAAAAAGAAATAGTGCCTGAGGCTATTTGTTGTTTTTGAAAGAATGCACGGTCATCATTGAAAGGATGTAATACGCATGTGACCAAGTTTCACTTCCATGCCTGCTACTGTTAACAACAAGTTTGAGGAGTGAAGAAGGAATTTAAAGAAAATTGCCTAAGGCCATTTGTTTTTGTTTAAAGAGATGTAGGTAAACATGTAGTCGTCATGGATATTATGTTACACGCATGCATACCAAGTTTTATGACAATGCGTTGTACCATTGGCAAGTTGGAAGACTGAAGAATTAAAATTGCCTGAGGCTATTTGTTGTTGTTCACAACCACTAGGCTACAAAATGCCTGTTATCTCTCTTAAAACACCCTTTAAAATTTAAACATTGTCCACGCACCAGGTGGTAATTATTTTACTGTTTTTGTGCTTACTTTTACTCTTCGTTACAGTAAGTTTATGCCGAGCATCACAAGTATGTCGCATTTGGTATCACATGGCTAATGACTGCAGATTATGGATGAAATTTTGCAGGTATAATAATTATACTACCAATGTTGTAATGTTTAACAGTGAACACAATGCTAGTCAATTTAGCATTTTGTAGATTATTAACCGTCTGTTTGCACGCATAGGAAGAAATACAGTTTCTTTGCTTCCGCTATACTGTCCATTGGTTTATGTTAACATGCATGCACAATGAAAAGCTCTAAAGTGCAAACCCTCGGCAAACTGCACATGCGCGGTACCGCTAATGGGCCGGGGGGCTATAAGGTGTTTACTCGTCTCCGCTGGTAGCTCGCGGAGAGTCTGACAGGGGCTAGCTACAGTAGTAGATAGCTTGCGTGAGTCAATACACGCCCTTCGTTGTGACTTATACACAGAGTGAGCGGACCCTTTCAAGGTATGTTTGTGCTAATTAGCATATTGGCTTGTTGACTTGGTTTTCACGCCATAACTCTCGAACACAGCACGTTTACAAAAATCGCTATTTTAAAAATGAAACCAGTGTAGCGCTGAACCCGTTTGCCTGTTTGTTGCGCGTTGTGGCAGAAAACGAGGTAACAGACGGACGGACGAACAGACCAAGCACTGTAACCCTCGCTGCGCATGCGCGGCCGAGGGTTAACAAGCCTGGAAAACATACCATACTAAAGGGTTCAGCGGCTTGATTTTTAAAACAGTATATACATACGCACTAAGGGAAACAATATGGCCCAGTGACTGTTTTCAATAGCCCTTATGTACTGCCACAAATTTCATAACTTGCAGTGTGGGAACCAAGTGAACAGGCCAATATAATATATCTGTTTGAATGCTTACTGGGTAATCCAGTCTACAACCGCCTAGCAAGGTTAGGTAAAGGTTTGGCATTAATGCTGGGCATAGACATTGTCCCTCACGATGGGTGTGTTTTCGAGGAGGGAGAATTATGACCTTCTACCAGCATGTGCTTGGTAGTTGATCGAAATAACCGAAACCTACCCATTGCATGTCAGCCTTTGCTGCGTTTTAGTGATCAGAATGCAGAATTTTTTGTGTATATGTATGGGTACTGCCACATACTGTAACATTATACATCATCCTACATATGTGTGAAATGTGTTAAAAATCGTACTGCTCTTATCATGCGTTACATCCCTCATATTATTATATTGCTCGTTCAAGCTCTCTTGTAAGTTTCAGTTCTGTGTGCAAGGTTGGTCCATACCAGGTGTGTATGTAATGATTTTATTACTCGTTGGGAATAAGGCTAGGTTATTCACCGGTGGTAATATTAACCCTCCATCCCTTGTTTTCGAGGCCAGGGCACCCATAAAGTCCTAGCTGCATTGCTGTTAACCTGCGTATATGTATAATTATGTAAGTTTTTCTCTACTTGTCTCCGGCTGCTCTTTTCCTTTCTACATTCCATATGACTTTGTTCATACGTGTATTTCAGGTTTTGATACTATGTTTGTTGTGCATCTCTACATAATGTTGCCGCCATCATGCACTAGCTCGCACATGTGTTGCTGGTCCTACATGAGTAAGCCTGTGTGAAGTCCTATTGAAGCCTTCCATGTCATCCTTTCCTCCATATAGTGCTAGCTGTTGGTTTCAGTATGAGTTGCATGTTTACAATGATAAATTCACTGCAGTGAATAGTTGTTACAAGGAGTGATAAAATATGCTGGGGAACAGATGGTTAGAAAATAAATTCGTTATGCCCATGCTGAAATGTTTCCCCACTGTGTCTCTTCTACAGGCTGCTACTTAAGTAAAGTACTAAAGTACTTGCTTGTAATACTCTAAAGCGGAGTACGGAGACTATTTTAAATAAGCATCTGAAGTAAATTGCAGGCTGTCCATTAAATTTTCGTTGTATATCAAGGCGATAGAAGGAGTGTTTTATAAAATTTTTAGCACTAGGCCAAATATTCCTTCTAGCAGATCTGGGCATAGATGATGTGTTTTCCATAAGCACTGATCAGTTGATTCCAACATAATTTAAAGTGCATGGGTTTTCGTACCTATAGGTTACGTGTATGGCAGCTATCTCAGACAGGAGAAGACAAGCAACGGAACAAGCATGTTTCCGTGGATGGAAGAATAATGGTTAGTTAATGTTACTCTGTCTGTTCTACATGTACGTATTTACACAAGATGGAGTCTGTCTGCTAGCCTGAATAGATATGTGCTGATAGGTTGCTTATAAGAGGCTGCATATTAGTCTAACCTTTGTGCCTCCAAGTGTAATTTTCCCAACAATGCTCAATAGAATAATAGTTGAAATATGAAGGTCCATACATAATGTATATACGTATATGTGGTTTATAAGAACATCAGTGGTATTAATGCCTGATGATCTTAATCTCCATGCCTATCCTCTAGTAATAGAAGCTAGCCTGTATCAGACTCTCTGCAAGCTATATACTAGCAAGAGACCATGAATTAGTGGATAAGGCATAGCCCAACCCCCAAACCCATATAATATCTTCTGGAGCAGGTTATTCCCACTATCTATAGACAAACAAAATTTTTAGGCATTAATAACGTTCAAACACATAGCCTATAATGTTCTTCAGCTTTGCAGGGTAAAATTGCTTTTATCCAAGTACAATTCAAAAATATGCTGAGATTTGGTTTTACAATAATCCTAAGCTATCCTGACTGTGCTCTACGTACAACAAACCACAACAACTTCTGGCTTGGCTGCTACGCAAATCTGTATCAGAAATATCTTTCTGCCTTTCTCCAATGAAGACTTGTTCTAAGGCATTAAATCTAGCTTTTGTTAATGCAATCCGAATTACTTCTGGATGCATGAACCACATAATGAGCTTTTTAAGAAGCTATGAACCTCCTGCTTTAGAGAATGCAGTGCAGGTGACTGTTGTTGCATCATTTTGTTGAAGATATTTATAACAGGTAAGGCTTTACTCAAGAACATCAGAAAGAATCTAGACAAAGGATTTTCAAGGCTCTCAGTAATTCTTTAAACTGTAGCTAGATTTTTAGATGAACTACGACAAGTACAAAAGTAGTACATTGTACTGTTCAAGCAATCAATCTGTTTATGCAAATTTCAAGACTTGTCTGTCCAGCTTTCAGAAACTTATGTGGCTTTACGTCGTCAAACTGCTGAAATTTCTGATATACCCTTTGGTTCTTAGGGCTCTTCAAGAAGCACCAAATCTGGAGTGTTAGGTCATCTAAATAATCATGCAACTCTTTACAGGCATGGTTAGCTATCAGCTGCAACATGACAGTTTCAGTGAAATGATAATTACACCACACTGTTGATAAACACCAATATCTGTCATTTCATCCATTTGGATGCTGAAGAATTGTGATTCTGTCAGGAGAGACAAAATACTTTGCTTTGCCCTAGCCCTAGCCCTAGCCCTAGCTCTCGTGCAACAACCCAAATATAGTAGCAAAATATATCTTCAGGCTTCAATGACAGACTGTTCTCCAGTGTGACCGCGTGCAGGACTAAAGTATGAAGTTAGCAAGGGAGAACCATTTTGGCTCTTTTGATTTGCCTGATGTACATGAGTCTGTTCGTGCTTTCTGAGATATTTGTCCTGCCATACGCTAAGCAAACATCGCAGTTACAGACAGTACACTTAGCATACGTGGACCATAAAATTGCCCAGGTGAACTTAGGGTACCCTTGTATACACTCTGACCCTGTGGTGTGCACATGTCTAAACGCGGACGTATGTGCATCCACCCCGCGCCCGCGTAAAATCTTAAGATGCATGCCTGTAACGTAAAATCCGTCCAAGAAATGTACCCAAACCCCGCCCTTAGGGACAGAAATAGGGTCTGGTGACTATCGAGTGTTTCTTGGTTGTGCTAACTTGACACCGAATGAGATTGCAGTGTTTGCTACAGGTGTTAAATATCACATGATGTTACGCAATAGATTGTAACAAACTCCGTGGATGCCGTGTGTCCACGAAAGAACACGGGCTTTTGCACGCATGCACTTCACAATGATGGGTCAGCACAACCAAGAAAACGCTCAATACTCACCAGACCCTTTTCCTTTCCTGAGGGCGGGGTCTGGGGACAAGACTAAGAAGAGTTGGAAAAATGATAACTTTCACAAAGTCTGGGTCTTGCAATAGTCTAGACTACTGCTGACCACACAACACCAGGTAACTCCATAGTCTTGTGCACTCTGCACCGGTGTGAGGAGTAGAGTCTTTCACAAGAATATATATACAAGTAAATAAAAAAATTCTTCAAACTAAAAAAGGGTGGAATATAGGGATGCCATAAAAAGTAAGGAGACAAGACAGGGATGACCTAGTGAACGTGATGCAGTAGTACAATGGATGATGGCTACATACTTTCAACTGACATCGCTTGCTCGTGTAAAATTTCCTCCACACGAGCCCTATATTGTCGCGAAGTACGAGTGTGCTCCCTTGTATGATGCACTGCTACGATATTTATTTCATAAGCACATTAGACAGGTAATACCATCTGCTCGGTTTTCAGTTGTGACTGCATTGTGTGGAGTCTAAGAATTCTACATTTGTTCAACTAACCAGTTTTACAATGCTGAGTTCTTGGCCATCTACATACAGAATCCTTTCACCATCCTCGCACTTCACTTTGTCCTCCCACTTCACTAAACAAACAGTAAAGGTGGCAACAATATAGGGCTTGTGTGGAGGAAATTTTACACGAGCAAGCGATATCAGTTCAAAGTATGTAGCCATCATCCATTGTACTACTGCATCGTTTTCACTAGGTCATCCCTGTCTTGTATCCTTACTTTTTATGGCATCCCTATATTCCACACTTTTTTAATTCCAGGAATTTTTTATTTACTTGTCTCCTTTCCTTTCTGCATTCACATGTATGGTGCGCAATAAAAAGTTAGGCATAAGCCCATTAAAAAAGTAACATCAGTGGCCTTAAGCTATTGCCTCTGACGTTTTGTCGACATTCACATTACATCAGTGCACCAAGTTTCATTGTGAGAGGACCCATCATAAGAGTTATAGGAACTGACACCATTTAAAAGTCTTTTTAGCCTGAGGCTGTTGGTTGTTGTTTACAACCTTGTTAACCCTCGGCGCGCATGCGCAGCGAGGGTTACTGTAGTCGTTCTGTCGGTCTGTCTGTCGACGCTTATTCTGGCACTACAGGCTACGAGGCGGCCTATTAGCGATACCAGCGGTTTCAGAACAACGCGAGCCCGAAAAAAAAAGGGCGATTTTCCTGAAATGACTGCGTTCGAGAGATATGCCGTGAAAATTAGAGAAAAAGCCAATATGCATAATAGCACTGGGCTTACCGCGACCTGATCCGCTCGCTCTGTGTACCTTGGGGGCTCAGGAAGTCACAACGAATGGCATGTATCGACTCCCGCATGCTATCTACTACTTAAGCTTGCCCGTGTCAGACTCTCCGCTGGCTACTCTGGAACGCAGTCGTTTCAGGAAAATTGCCACATCAATATCCATCTTCTCGTTGTTCACAACCCGTTGGTGCCACTCATTGGCCGCCTTGTAGCCTGTAGTGCGAGAACTAACTCGCGCGGACAGAAAGTATGACAGAACGACTACCGTAACCCTCGCTGCGCATGCACGCCGAGGGTTAATAAAGATCCAAGGAAGCAGCTGTCTTTTTTGTACTGACCACAGCAGCAGCGGCAGATGAACAGCACAAGAAGGGTGTTTGCTGGTGTTGTAGCACCTGCCTGCGACAAAAAACTCTAGCACAGAGCAGGCGTACATATCTAGCTCTTAAGCTGGTTCTAGCATGTTCAGTCTTGACTTGGCTTGGCTTCGTGACATCAAAACAATACCTGGAAATGAATTTGAAATTTCACAATTATGCATGTTCTATCGGCTACAGTTTGGAAAGGCTTTTGTCCACACCCAGGCCACAGACACAATATTATTCATGCAGTCCTAACCTTCCACCAGTGGCATTGCACACAGATTTGTGTCTTTAGCTAAACAGATGCAAACATACAAAAAACCTGTGTATTGACTCATGCGTGTGTTTTTGAGCGTTTTGTGTAGCATAGGCCCAAAATGTGTTTCCCTGCAAAAGTGAAGCAGAAGTAGTTGTGAAAACAAGCATCTGGAGTACAATGCAGTACGTTTATGCATGCTTATATAATATGTACTACTTGTTGTGTTGCCGGTGGAAAGTTAGGTCACTAGGGGAGAGTTTGCATGCCATAAAATATCTACCAGTGGCCTAAGCAAGACTTGGCATCTGGTGACCTACTATGTTTTTGGGTTGGGGGAGGGGGAGTTGGTGGCGGTTTGTTATCATTCTTTTTTCTTGCTAGTAGTGAGCTAAGAATGTTTGTCACAGCTTATCCTAAACAGAAATGTATGAGAATCGTAATATTCTGTTGGGAGTTTAGGAGTCAAATTCAAGCCTGTGGAAGTTGTACAGCGCTTGTTAGACCCTTTCTCCCTTCTGTGCTGCATGTGCATAGATCTAAAGCGCACAGAAAAGCAAGTGTTGGAGAGAGGGTCTAGTGTGATAGACTATTATCAGTACTTCTGTGCAGTGCATAATAAGTTAGTGCATTGTGTACACATGTATATTATGTACTGCATTTATGGTTTAAGACTTCCTTTTTATTTCTTCCGCAGTGGAAAGCCATGTTCAGTGAAAGGTTTAGGATTCGAAGGAACTGGCTCAAAGGGTTTTGTAACGTGAGAACCTTTGAGGGGCACACACAAGGTGTGTTTCAATTCTGTACGTTGGTGATTAACATAACTTGGTCAAGGGTTCCACGCTGAGTACCTAGAAAGTATGTACCAGCATTTTTACTTAGATTGCAGCATATAAAAACCTTCTTGTTGGGCTTTAACTTGGGGACACTGTTTTGGAATTAGGCTGTTACTTCCTATGGCAGTAGTCTAAAATTCGTTTTTAAGAAGAAGCACCCAACACCTGGCCTGAGCACAAATTCATTTTGTCTGGCTTGCTCTGGGTGATGCGAGCAATACACCCCTGCCGAATATTTAGGGTTACATTTGACCGCCAACGTGCCATTTTCCTTTTACTACAACACCTTTTACACTTGCAGGTATTTCTTGCATTCAGTTCGATGATACGAGGATCGTCAGTGGATCCTGGGATAAAACTATTAGGTATAAAAGCCGGTAGCGAGTGTTGGAAGCAACAAAATGATACAACAATGATTGCATTCTAACCGGTGACACATTGATGCTGGTCCTTGGGTAAAAGTATAGTATTTACGAATAGTTTGTGCTGGCTATGTGACCTTCGGCCAATCAGATCCTTCTGTATTGTCACATGTATAGCAGTTTGAATCTTTGGGGCCAAGCATACATTACTAAGATAAGACCACTGAACGGCACGAAAAGTGCAGAACCTCGGTGCACTAGAAACGCAGCGTGTGCATGAGCGATCGGTACGGCTGAGCAGAATCGATGGGCTTGCCTCACTCGCGGATCTCTTCAGCTCTCTGCGAGTCCATCGCAGGCAACTTCTTCTCTAGATAGGATGCGGAAGTCGATTACTCGCGAGGGTAATTACTTAACCTTATGGGCCCAGAAAACGTGAGAACTACTAATAGAAGAGTCCAGTACCGTGACACGCTTGGCAACTGCAGCGCACGAGACACTCATCACCGCTCTGCCAGCTGAGCGATATCAAGGTAACACTTGCTCTTTGAAACTCCTTGGAGGAGTGACACTCACTCGAGGACACAATCTCAGCATAGGCACTCATAGACAGACGTTTTGGGATCTCTCTCTTGAGTCGTCAGCATATCTAAAGAGGCGGACCATCTCCCTCTGGACGAGGGGGAATGCTTTGCGTGGATGCCCGTCCCTGTCCAATTCTGGACGGAGTGGTCTGAACAAATTTGGTATATCTGTGTTTTCTTTTGGTTTGCTGTATTTTTTGCTTAATTTTCTCGTTCTTGCTTGGTGGTTGTAAATAATGTCGAGGTTCAGCAGCATAAACCGTTAACTATATACGCTATTACGTGCATAGTATTGCGCATGATTTGGCCGCAATAAGTGTGCATTAAGTGGTTAATGCACCGATAAAGTAGTTATAACAGGGAGGTACCGGCAGTGAGTATTCCCGAGTGCAGGAATGCAACACAATCAAGGGTTCTAATTGTATTCCTTGCACATAAGGCAATATAACCCGCACTGGCCTGGTGCAACTCCAGTAAAACGGGTTTTAGTGTCAGTTGCATAAAAAGTGTTTTGGTGGGTTCACTTTTGAATTTGTGTCCATCATGGCAGACTGGAGCGTTTCTCGAACCCACCATGGCTTGAGTACTACTATGTGTACGACTTCAGCGGGAAGAATTATTAACTTCCGGGGAGGTAAGCCCCGGCTAGAGACAGACTGTGCAGACCGTTGAGTATTTTTCCCAGCACCCGCTCGTAGCTGGACTCGTGGTTGGCTGTGAAACCCGGCTGGAACCACCTACACTAGCTGATGTCGAGTATACGTGATGCGTAGCAATCCAAGTGGCATTTTCCGTGGGTAGTGACAACTGCGACACTGACTCGCTTCAAGCTCTTGGTGTGACCTCGCTTGCTGCGCTTCGTGTACTGGGTCACCATGATGTACAAGAACTTCAAAAACCCAGCGTCAGAAGTCTGATTTCACACAGCTAAAGCCAAGACCATTTAGCAGCCCAACCGCAATCTAATACCCCGTTGCCTTGTAGTTAATTGCTAATACACCCGTTACCACAGTTATTAATGAAATGCACTGTAGTGCAAACCCTCGGCGCATTATGCATGCACGGCACCACTAATTGATGGGCTGGGCTATGAGTGTGTGATCTCCACACTAGTTGGTCGCGGAGAGTCTGACACGGGCTAGCAACATTATAAGATAGCATACCGATGCAGGAGTTGATACATGGCCTTCATGGTGACTTCTTGTGCCTCCGCAAGGTACAAAGAGCAAGCGGATTGGTTGGTGCGATTATGCATATCGGCTTTTCTTCTTGTTTTCATATCTCTTGAACGCAGTCGTTTCAGGAAAGTCACCATTTAGTTTTTCAGGTTCGCGAGACGTTGGTATCGCTCATGGGCCGCCTCGTAGCCTGTATTGCGAGAATAGCTGCTGACAGACGGACAGACAGACAGACACACACACAGACCAATTACTGTAACCCTCGCTGCGATAGTAATAAACTTGACCACAAGCACAGATGTTAGCATTCCACACCAAGCTGGCCCTACGGAACATACTAGGCTTGTCCCAACCTTTTGATCTGAGTAACCACCTGGGCTGCAATAACTAATTTAATTTCACACTCTTTTAAACAGTGCATTCAAACTGAGCTGTGGCAATGCTAAATGTGTGTGCCGTCGTTGACTCTCCGAGCCAGCGATGGGACAGGAATGGCAGTGTTGACACAGGGTGGGCGTTTCAACAATTACTGCCTCAAATCGGATTCGCTGTGGCTCGACATTTCAATGACAGGTGAAGTGTTGATGACGAGGGTTAAACTATCGCCTTGGGTTGAAGTAAGTGATGGCTACGGACATAGAATTTTTGAATAATTGGCTTCAATAAAATAGCTGGGCAGAGTATCCAAGCTTGGCATAGTATGATTAGAAGATCGTGTCTGATAGTTGCTAGATGATACTGTCGCTTCCACCTTGCCTTGTGCACCCACTCATGCATATCACCTTTTCTATTGCAGCTCATTAACACCCATCGGTGCATCGACTGCGTCCAGCCACAATTCCATGCCCCCACCCATGAAGCAAAACATCGGGATTCTTCCTTCATCTCAAAAAGCTGCATCTCCTGAGTTTAACATATACCGGGATAAGAACAGAAAAACAGCAGATCCAACTGGTCTAGACACAAAGATTACTCAGCTGATCTGAAAATATCAAACAACCATCGAAGTTACTACCCACACAGCCCATGATTGGGCGCAAATTGACTTGAATGAACTATTACTACAACACAGACTGTCTCCAATTGGGGTGCTTTAACTAACTGCTTTACCTGTTGCCTGTTTACACATCTTGTGGCCTTCTCCAGCCACGCAACCATGTCCACAACCTACATGGGAAGACTCAAGTTGCCCTCCACTCTAGCCAGGTCGTTTCCAGGGGAGTAGAAATGACCACTGTTGACACATTCACACGGAATTCCGTAAAATGTTTGGATAATAGTTCGAAGCACGGTTGTGTCGAGAATGCGGTGTAAGAATCCCGAGTAGTGTATAGTCTTTGCCAACTTTGACATTCACGTCTCCCTAGCTTATAGGTATAGGTTAACCTGTGGGTTTGGAAGGTACCCGAGGGCTTATCAGTAGCGCACGAGGGCGGTACAGATGAGCACCGAGGGCATAGACCCGTATGCTGTCCAAAACCTGGGTTAACCTATTTGTAGCCTAGAAAACTCAGACAATAGTCTCACGAAGCCAGTCCTGCTGGTTGCACAAGACTACTCCGCCAGATCCCATGTTGCCGCTTCGAAACGCTGTGGCATACACGCGACAGCTAAGTGTCAGCATTTGCACATGCGAGAATTTGCTAGAGCCTGGAAAAACAACTCACCAAGGAAGCAAAAACCCAACCAGTGACAAAACTAGCGTCTGTAGCTCTCAAGGTTGCCGAGCGCGCTGTGTTACCACGAAGCTCTGCTCTGCCCGCAGTGGAATGCCTACTTGACCAGCGTTTAATGTTACGTAGTTTGTCACCTTATTATCCATTATCTTTATATCCTTCCCTGCTGGTCAGTCGTACTCCATATCCCGACAACCCTCTTCTTTGTGGGTTGTTTGTATAATCACGCGATGCAGGCCACCCTCTCTGCCCACATAGCTGGGAACCAGCTTCTCCCATGCACTAAAGCTGATCTCCTCCTTTCTTTCTTCTTCTATGGTATATTGTTATTGGTTTGTACAGTACAACAAATTGAACATGCCACGACTAAGAACACAGCAAGCAAGCCTGTCTTGGCTAGAGCGTGCTGAACCTCCTTTACCAGGGCTGCCCGCGAGAGGGGGTGTCCTGCCGGGGCCCGGGTGAGGGTGATGTAGCTGACTAGGGCCTGCACCGGACAAATTAGTGCCAAGGACGCTTCCAAGTAAATGTCGGCCCCCAATCTGAAGGGGTCGGTTTTGCTGTTTTATCTTCAGCCGAATGAATGAAGGCCTTGCATGACTGTCGATCCGTCACATCTGCCAGACTGAGATGGACTTCCGGGTCGTAGTCTTTTTGAGATGGGAAACTGATTTATCTGCTCTCAGAAACCCTGTGCACGCTGCTGCCCACAGCATTGTCTGGTCTGGCGATGCGCTGGGGCCACACCACACGCTTCGTAGCCGCTTGAGCGTTTGCTCCGTCACTGGAAATGGGTTGTTTTCAGGTAGGTCGGCGCAGAATGCAAGATACCGGCGGTTGGCTGACGCATATGAGGCTCTAGTGGCTGGGGCAACACAACTTCCAAGGTAACTTTGAACTGCTCTATCCACACTGGCGATGTCCATCGAAGCTTTTGGCTGAGCACCAACTCCTGCAGGGGAGTGGGATGAATGCCTGTTGGGGCTGTGCCTGTGGATGAAGAGAGTGGAATAATGGCATCATGTTCTGTGAGAGGGCGTCTGCTAGGCTGTTTTTCTCTCCTGGGATGTGACGCGCTAAAAAGGTAACACCCTTGACTGCGCAATGTAAAAACAGTAGTCGAAGTAGGCGCATGAGTTGGAAGTCCCTGGCTGTACTTTTGCATACGCTACCGCAATGTTATACGGAGAAGCAGCTTACTCTGCTTGCCCCACACTGCAACGCTGGTTACTATCGGGGCCAGCTCTTATGCCGCCACTGCGCGCATTGAAGGGAACCAGTCATGTGCTCCACAGCGCCGCCTGTCCCCATAAGCCCTGAGGCGTCGTGATGTCGCCCACACTTGGGCGTTGAGATGGTGTACATGGTGGTCAGTGACTTGACACGCTGTCGACTGCATCAATGAGACTCCATCAACAAATGACCACCAAACCTCTAGTTTCACGCTTGCTGCGTGATGTAGGCACCACCAATCGAGGAGCAGTAGAGCTCTCTTCTTTCCAGACCTACGGGTGGAAGAAGCGCATAGAGACTGCAGCGCTTCATGTCTTTGAGTTAGTCCATCGGCAAGCAGCAGCTGCATTCGTGCTCGAGTCATATCTCACCTATCGGAAGAGCCACTGGCACCCTAGCTCTGACACGAGGAGAGAGGGTCTTCCATTGTGCTTGGTCGCAATGGCTCGACTCTGGTGGGGCCTAGGAGTAGAATATCGTGGAGAAACGGAAGGGCTTTCACTATGCATGATGATGAGGGCGTCTGCCAACGCTAAGAATATATTCGGCGCAGAGCACAGCCCAAATGGGAGGACCGTATCCACGTATAAGGTGTCTCTCCAGCACATGCCCAGCTGCAAGCGATCGTCTGGGTGGACGGTCCACTCTCCCCTGTTCCATGACAAGCATAACTTCTTGCTGAGAGGGGGTGGCTTCCCTGTGTTGCTCCGCTTCAGCGGGTGGGGGTGTCGTTGACTTGTTTTCGAGTGCGAGTACGGGACGAGTAAGGATTGATTAATGCAGGGAATGACCAAGAAAACTGGACTAGCAAGTGGAGACATGTCAGGGCTTTAGAGCATGATAGCCTTCTGTGCCTTGAAAGACCTTTTTATCTCCCAACCCGAGCAAATCCATGTTCCACGTAGTTCTGCACAAGTATAATGGTGGAGACATGTGTTCCTTTGGCTATTCATCTCGACTGGATTTGGTAAATCGGTTGTTTATCATGGATTGTAGCCTAGAAATCAAAGCTTCCGACAACAGTATATTCGTACTAACCACAACCGCCACCACTGAATATTGCCGATGTGGTTTAATGTTCATTAAACAAGGTTAATGTGGGTAGGCATGAGCTAATTATGCTCAATATTTTCCTATAATTCTATGCTGTAGTGCTCAAGTAATATTTTCTACATATGTACTTACTATGCTCAACATTATGCTTATCCAAATAATACGACAGTGACAGAGTTAAAAAGTGATTATACTGAAGCATGAGTGATGTTTGGATGTGGTCATTGAGTGTTGTATCCTGTCGGGTTAGCACTCTCACTGCGTCTAGTTGACGCCATTTTTGCAAGCACACCTGCGCAGTAGATAAACTACGTAATCCAAGTGAGGTAACTTAGCAATAAAATAGCATATTATGCTCGCATTATGCTTTATGCTTTCGCCTACCTACTATGCCCGTTTTAGTGCTAGCATAATTAGCACAGGCCTAAATGTGGGCCTCACCAGCGCGCGCGCAAAGCCAGGCCAAGCGCAGTGTATGAGTCTGGGTGAGCATGTGCATTAACCAGTTTGAGCACATGCTGGTCTGGACAGTTGGCTGCCTGGGGGCGGGCTCAACGTCAGACGTTTTCCTGTTGTTCTCTCTGCCCATCCACCCTCCCCTCCCGCCTGGCCACCACTAGGAGCACGTGTCGAAGATGAGTGAGTCGGGGTCCCTGGAGGTGACTCAGCGGACGAGATTCGATCCTTAATCCGAGAAGAGCTAGCAGCTGCAGCCGCCTTTACCCCACTCCCACTCTGGTGTGCCCTAAGAGCAAGATGTAAGGCATAATGCGTTATGGCTAGCCCCCTCCGCACCACACCCAATCATGACATGCCCATGCCTTCCGTGTGCGTACGAGTAGACAGGGCGCACCCATGCTTGGGGTTGACATTGCTCCCCGCGCTTACTACACTCCTGCTGCTGGTTCCTACTACCAGCCAACCCCGCCCCTCTTTGTTATACCCACCCGCGCGTGCCCCGTGTGGGTATCTCATTGTGTGGGTGAACATTGTAGCGCACTTATGCTGGGGCTGACATCGTGCCCAATGTGCGTCCTGACCCCTCTTGCTGCTCTGAACTACCTCTTCACCACTTCCCACCCCAGGCGCGCTACCCCTCTCCCTGTTGTCGCTACCGATCCTCCCACCAGCATCAGCAAGCACGGTGCCGAGCCTGCCGTCCACTTTGGCGACGGTGGGAGCAGGTGCCTCCTCGAGCATCCTGGCATGGAGCAAAACCACTCCTACACCGGCAGCCTCTGCCAATCCCCCTCCCTTCAGAATGGCCAGCAGCCTTCCACCAGTCCCTGTAAAAAGATCCAGGCAATGGAGTTCATGGAAATGCCGAGCTACTCCCAGATAACATTGCACTCACCGGACCACTCGAGGCGCTCCCTCAAGGCATCGGCAGCCAGCATGCAACCCAGAACATAGGGAGATCGGCTCCCTACACACGTGGACAGCCTCTTTGCGACCTACCTGGCAGTGGTTTCTCAGGTCCGCCCAAACCGGGTGGTGGACATCCTGGCTTACATGCGGTTGATTATTAGGGGAAGCCTACCACCATGGAGGTAATGGCTGGCTTACTTATGACGCCATCTTTAGGCCCAACCAACAAGGTCTGCACACCCCGTGGAATGTCCTCGACCCATCACTGCACATGGCCTGCGTAGTGAGCCACCTCGGATCCCATTCTAGTTCTGCAACGAGACAGACCACCAGGTCCATGACTGCACACTTGCCCCACTCTCTCCGGCAACACGTGGACCACTACGGGACCGCAGAGCTCCCACATATCCAGGGCTGCTCTTTTTCGCAGGAAAAAAAGCTACCCTAGGTGGGATTCGAACCCAGGACCTCTAAAGATAAATTATACGTTTTAATGAGCCAGTAGGAAAATAGTGCAAAATAGAAAATTTAAACTCCCTATAAAGAAAGACTCGCTCACATTCTAGGCTCCAGTGCCATTAACAGAATAAGGGGGCTTCATAATTTCATTTACTGCACAGCTGTATGCACACAGTTAAACTGAAGTATTGTTTGTGACATGGCGAACCAAGAACTCATCCATTACTGGTGAACACACTAATAATATGCATACATGTACTACAACCATTTTATCCAAAACTTGTTTTTGCGTCTTTGCGAAAAGCATACATAATGGAGATTACCTGCAACAGATCACTCTCTTGGTAAGCAGTGTCTCATCGTAAGTGTGAGTAATTACTACAAATATTACCTGTATGGACTAGGATGGGAAATATACACACCATACTCATGTCCAGATCGAATATTGATGTACAGCACATTTAACACTTTGCATTTGTTGGTATGACATATGTAAGTATGTGAAACCTGAAACATGAAGTGTAAATGGTGATTATCCTACTCTCCCATGACTGCAATACATTGTTGCTATCTTATGCAAAATGGAGTCTGCACTTTGCCAAGGTTGTTTTTCGTATTTTCTATGACTTTTGCTGGTTTCTAGGTGTGGAATCGACGCACAAAATACTGCTTGGGCTGCCCTGACTCTTACCGGTCATTCTGGCACTGTGCGATGTCTCCACTTACATGATAACCGATTGGTCAGTGGTTCATCTGACAGAACCATCAAGGTATATAAGACCATACATCATCGTAATAGATACAAACAACAGCAACATATGAAGTTGCAAGAAGTGTACAACACCAAAGTTGTATTGTATAACTCCTTTAACAATACCCACTTACTGCACACATTGCATATCTCCTTAGGTATCAAAATCAAGAGTCCTTAAGACTCATGTGGGAAAAGGAGCACGGATAGTGTATGAACAACATTTTGTACATCCTATTAGCAACCTGTTGTAGGTGTTTGCATAGAGGCCTAAAACATCTGTTTTCTTTTGCTCAGCCATACTCATGCCATGCGCATAAAAGGACTTTCAGCAAATGAATTAGACTTTGGTGTTTCGAACTACTTGACTCTATAGGAGCATTCTTTAGACAATTAACACATAATACTAACTAATTTTGAAGCTATCCTCACTGCTATGAAATAATGTGCAGAGGATCCTGTGCATGATGTTACGGACATCACGTCGTCCTGTATCTCCCGAGCACCCAGATACAGATCTGAACCACCGGTTTTCTGTAGCATGCCTTCTACTCGGCTGGAAATAGAAGGTTCGCAGCCTTTCACTCAGCAGCGTTCAAAGAAACACACATTTCCAGGTGTGTACCAAGCCTCGAACAATTGATGCTTGTTTGTCTTCTGGAAAAATCGGCGTAACAGATTTTGTACTCACCAGCATTTATTTTAATGTGACATGAATTGATAAAATTTATCAGCAATAAATTTTGTATATGTGGATAGTATGAATGACAGTACTACAAGTTCCGGATCTCAATGACGTCGCAATAGTACCGTATATTTTTAGATCTGAGGTGCATATTTGAGGGACCACGTACGTAGTTACACAGCATTGGATTGGACGGTTTTGAGGATTTAACTGTATTCAATTCTTTATTGCTAAAGGTTGTCTTGTTTGCCCCTCTTTAAGCATACACTTTTGGTCTCCTACTTTTTATAACTACGTGTGTGTGCTCAAGGATACAGTATTTTAGTTCGTCTGTCTTTTTCCAATTTTACCACGTGCAACAAGTAGCAGGCAACAACGAGTGGTTCAACAGATTCACTACTACGTAAAAGCATTGCGTTTGAAGGTTTAGGCGTGGAACAAAGTGAACAAGCCAATATTATACCAATGAAATCTTCCTGTTCTGTGCAGAGTAGAAGCATGAGGAGTTACACAAATGGCAAGTATAGGTTCTACCTACAAACACTACCTTTATAGATGCAGCTGGCCCATATGAGACCATGTGGGACCCAATTGGTACATCATTAAATATACATTGGTTCTGTTGTAGTTTGGACTTATCGACAGACAATGTTAATTGGGTGTGGAGCAACTTGTAGGATCACCATGGTTGGACATATGCACACAGTCAGATGTTTGCAGGTAAATGTATTCATAGCATAAAGACCTTTGCTTTCCATGTTAAGCAATACTGATCAGAGAATCTGGAGGTCAAGAAAACTATGTAGCTGTTGTGTTGGCATGGCTTACCACAAAAACAATAACTAAACAAATTGTGATTTTGAACAATTTCTTGGTGTGTTGATTCATGAGCCAGATTTGGTTTGTACAGTATCAGCCAATATTATGCGATTGCAACAACTCGGGTGACATGTCCTTGCATCTTTACTAACTTTTCTCTGCGTATGTCATGCACATTTTTGTGTGTGCACGTGTGTTCTACTAAAGCAATATGCTTACGTTACAGGCGGACCATGAAAAAGTTATCAGTGGATCTTATGACAGCACGCTCAAAGTGTGGGACCTTAGTACTGGAGAATGCTTACTTACTCTGAGGTATATGCTGACCAAATGCAGTAATTGTGCATTTATCACAAGGAAAAGATACATGACCAAACATCTGACAATTGACTCTCAGTGCCATGTTCACTTAGCTATGAGAACTGAACATAGCTAGTTTGTCTAAGCAGGCATGCACAGTACTATGCAGTTGTGCTCGGGACTGCATGTGTCAAGACAGAACTCATGCACTACGTAAACAACGCACAAATGATTACACTTGTAGTACAATGGGGATGCATGTCAAAAGTGCCGTTCGTGCATTGCTAATGATTGGACAACTGTTTCAATTTTTACGCCAAAACAGCAAGGTAAGTGCTTGGCAAGTAGCAGGAGTAATTTTGCAGCTCTCTAGACTACCTCCGCCTCCACTAAGCACGGAAAAGGGAGTAGTGAACACTACGTTTAGAATGGTCTCTACTGTCAGTCCTCCTTGCCTGCTTGACTTTTAAAGTGTACTTGTGTTCGTGTGCCGTCAGCAGTAGCTATTGTAAGTGGAAAGACTACTAACCAGTAGTTAAAACACTGTTTACGCTCGTATACTACAGAAATTCTTGAAAGTCGGATGTGGTCTTGAGGCTATGCCTCCACATCCTCTAGTTTCCATTCTGTGTGTTAGTGTCGTAATATTTTTGTTCTCTCACGCATGGTATTTTCGTAAGCCAATTTCGTTTTATAAGATATGCAACTTCTACTCTTCACCATTAAATTTTAGACATGTAGAAATTTTATCTTCAATGATTCCATTTCTCTGAGCATGGTGATGAAACTTGCTATTGTCTGGTAATAACCATAGTTATAGGCATTATTATTATGTAGCATAATTATATGAGGATTCTATTTGAGCGACTATACATAGCAAACAAAAATTATCTAGACAGGACGTTTCAGCTCGAAAGCCTTCGTCAGCTGTATAACTGAGGGAAGTGGAGAGTGCTGTTTTATAGTTATGAAAATGAGTGGTGGGAAACCGCATGCGTAATGGGTAAACATTGTTCAATACAGCTGCAGGCTGGTAGTCACAGTTTACTCAAAGTCAACCCACTTTTGTGATATGGCCATACCACTGAGCGGCAATTCACTATGGAGGTAGAGTATCGCATTTCTGGATGAGAAGAGAAGGATGAAAATTAAGTACATCTGTCTAAGAACATGCATACTGACAGATATCTAAACTTCCGCTCACACCACCACCCCAGGACATTCTCTGGTGCGGTGAAGAGCCTGAAACATAGGGCTATTAATATCTGCCAACCAGAGAAACAAGAAGAGGAACTACAACACCTCAAGGATACCTTTCATAGGAATGGTTATCCATCCAGAGTGATTGACCCAATAATGAAGAAAAGCCACTCCGCCCCAAAATCCAAGGGATAGAGAAGATGAGGATAATGAATAGAAACAAATACTCTATTTACCCTACGTAAAAGGTCTTTCAGAGAGGATTGAGAAAGAACGCAGAACCTTAGAGAATAGCAAGCTGAAGCTGGCCTTTCGACCGATCAGAACAATTAGGCAGACACTGGTACGAGTCAAGAGCAAGATCCTCCCCGAAAACAAGCAAGGTGTTGTGTATAAGATCCATTTGGTGAGTGTGAACAAGTATAATATGTTGGCGAAACAGGCAGAAGCCTGAAGGTTCGGATCTCTGAAAACAAACAAGCTGTGAAACGGGGTGACATGAATAACGGCATCGCGGTACACGTAAAAAAAGGGTCATACCATCAACTTGGAGGAAGAAGCCAGCATCAAGACCACAGAGACGGGTTACTGGAAGAGGAGGGTACAGGAAGCCATTAGAATCCAGAACAAATCAACCCGATGAACTTGGACTGTGGGCTGACTTTGAGGAATCTTTGCGCATGTGCTAATGTTATGCTTTTTATTTTGTGGAGCCATTGTGAATGTTTGCCGTGATTGACTCAGTTAAAACAAGCCCTAGAGTCATACATGCACAGGTCGTCTTAACTTTCTACAAATGGTTTACGTGACCTCTACATACTCAACAAAAAGGTGCATGTAATGTTCTTTGCACTTGTAGCACTTATGTTTAGCAAAACTATTTGTACTGCAACTTAGGTCAAACTCCAGAAATCAAAACAAGTCAAGAACTAAACGCATATCAAGGCCAACATGAGAGACCTACTAAAAATATTGGTGAATGAATTTGATCATGGATATCAAGTCCTGTTGCTGTCAAGTGACAAAAACGGCTGCTGAGTAGAGGAATTTCATAATTTTAGCTAGAAAGATTGTTTAGCAGTTATGAGCTGGTAATTAATTTTTAACTACAGTTTTATACTAGAGTTAATTGGTTTACTTTGGTCTGTAGGCATTCTACAGCATACGTAGGCCCAAGTGGTGATATTCACACGGCTGGCTGCTAGCGGTGGAAGCCTAGAGCAGCAGCAACACCAATAATAATACTCAGGTGGCTACCATAGAGCAGCAACATCAAATCTGTCTCTTTTTGACATAAATAAATGTTTCGGGTAACTAGGCTCTCAATTCTCTCCAGTACTTTTGTGGAGGAAATAACTATCAATGTTGTATAAGTATAAACCACGTACCTATATCACGTCCTCTGTGATCGTGACATAGCTAATTTTTTCATACTGCGTGACAGACATGTATATGAGAGTATTTCATGCTGGTGTAGTAGAAAATGCTGTTTTCTATAGAGTTGTGCTTTAAAAAGCCTCCAGAAAGCAATTATGCTTAGTTCGATTTTAGAGTGCCCAATCATAATGTGTATGGCTAGTTCTGCAACGGAGATCGTGTTCAATAAGGTCTATGACAGAATGCAGAATGGCAATTCCTTTGTCAAGTGGGTCCAGTGTGCAAAGAGTTCCAGTGTTGCGGGTCCACCAACATCGTTTTCCAAGGTCAAGTGTTGCTGGTGCAGACCACTCCTCTTCTTCATAGAGTAGTAGCGTTGGTCATTTCAAAAGGCAATTAGATGAAAATGGCAAAAAGCACGTGGCTACAGAGTAGTGCTGTGTACGAAGTAGGTGAGGAGTTTCCGAGAAAGAGCCATCTAGTAGTCACTGGTTCAACATAATCCGCGTAAAGGATCATAAAATGTTGCTGCTGTGTACGAAGTAGGTGAGGAGTTTCCGAGAAAGAGCCATCTAGTAGTCACTGGTTCAACATAATCCGCGTAAAGGATCATAAAATGTTGCGCTCGTTTATGTTGAACTGGATATTTCGTCACTACTAGCAGAGAGCCAAGAAACCCATGAGTCTTAAAAAGCTTTTAGGTTGGCTGGCAGATGTTTTAGTGGGGGTGGTGATGTACAATGCCTGTGGGAGAGGGGCACAATAGAATTCAGGACGCACACCGCTGAGGATTGATTCTATGGCACTCCTGACCCTACAATCTTTAAGGCCCCTTTTAATCTTTAAGAGGTGCAACTAATTTTTTTACTGCGATATGTAGCGCTGTTACGAGCTACAAGCAACGCAATGTGATGCTAACCGACTTCGAGCAACAGGCAGTTTCTGAAGTTTTAGCCAACTGAAGGTTGGTTGCAGCAGTAAGAAGCAGCGAAGTTAGTGTCTACAGAGCCGCCAACATGTCCTGTCTCTTAGCCATTAATTTTGAATGCACATGTTGTTCTGCAGGATGCCATACGCAGATCATCAGTTCAATAAACCGAAATGCTGGCTTTAGTAACTGTACATTTTTGTGTGTATTACTGTAGCGTTGGTAAAGTGGTTGCCCTATTACCCAATGACTGTTAAGCAACATGCCATGGAAGTTGTGATGCTGTTCTTTGTCTCCCCTAATAGATGCATTTCATGTTAATAAAATCACAGCATTCTGGTGTAATGAGTGTTATCAATGCAGAGGTCATGGTGATGCTGTTCTATGTCTCCATTTCCACGAGAATAAACTCGTGTCTGGTTCTAAAGATACAACCATCAAGGTTTGTGTTTTGTCCAAATAGAATTGAAGTGAAGTTCTATGCACTCCGACACGGGCTTCCCATGGGAAAGCAAAATCAGGGCCGCAATTGAATAATGGTTAAAATCTCTTTTAGCTTGTCACTTTCTCGTGCCATTCACTTATAGTACATTACCAAAGGCAGTGCCACAGGGAACCAAGGAGCCAAGTTCTCCTAATCTGTCTTTTTGAACTATGTAGCTTTCAATCACCTTCTCATGGTTTAAGCCATGTGGAATAGGCGTGGCAGTGCATACTGAACTGGCGGTCCATTCACGTGTATGTGGTAGCATCTCAGTATCTACTTAATTTGGTGTTTGGCATATTTGGTGGTTTAATTACCCCAGTCTGCTAGGTCCTATGATGGACATTAGTGATGTGTTTCTGTGCCATTGGGGTTTGCCTTTGTATTGCACACTTTGAGCCCAGCCTGCTGACTTGTCCTGGTAGCGCAGTGGTAGAGAGCACTTGTCTAACAATGTTGTGGGTTCAAGTCTTTTGAGAAATAGTGTTGTCTTAGGTGTTGCACTTGCCTTGTGTTTGATTTATGCAAACACACACAAACACACTCCGACACCCAGTACTAGGGGGTTACAGTACTTGGTTTGTAAGTCTGTATCTTCTGCCTGTCTGTCATTTTTGCCACCCCAGGCAAAAAGTCAGCCAACATGAAATACAGTGGGTCCTGTTTATTGTCTGACATTCAAATTAAGAAAATGGTGAATATAGGGATGGTATAAAAAGCAAGGAGGCAAGACAGGGATTACCTTGTGTATGTGATGCAGTAAATATACAATGGACACTCAAACTCACATTGTTTGCTTGTGAAATTTTACCTCTACACAAGCCCTATATTGTCGCCACTCTTACTCGTGACATGAGTTTGTTTAGTGAAAGATTAAAGTGTGAGGACTGAGAAAGTGATTCTCTGGAGGGCTAAGAATGCAGCATTGTAGTTGAGCGAACAGTCACAACTCAATAACCAAGGAAGTGTCAGAGAGAGCAACCCCTAGATTACCTGTTACATTGGCTTCGGGAATGAGTCATAGTTGCACATAATACAGTTTAAGAAAGCGTACTCATCCTTTACGACAATAAAGGGTTTGTGTGGAGGGAAAATTCCACGAGCAACCAATGTGAGTTTGAGTATGGGTTTTATTATCCATTGTGCTACATACACAAGGTCTTCCCTGTCATGTCTCCTTGCTTTTTATACCATTCGTATAATTAAATTTTCTTAATTCGAGTATTTAATGCACATATATTAGTGGCCTTGTTGGTTCATATCCTCCGCCTGTTTGTTGTTATTCACATACTTCTTTCACCATAGTACATAAATGTACCAAAGTTTCATGATTACAGGGCCCAGCAGAGATTCGCGGAGATTGCCCACGCACAGTTTTTCCACGCATGATCACGCATACTACTATACTATACACCGCGTTACAACGAAAACTAACTTAATTGCATGAATTGGTTACCGATTATGTGATTGAAGCCATTTCTTAGGCAATTGCTTATTTGATCATACTGATCAGACTGATAGGTCAGAGAGTGGGTCTGATTGAAAATCTTAACTGTATACGCATGATGCTGGATAGCCTGGGTCATCCCTATATACGAAGTACACAGGTGGCATATCAGTTGCCCAGCATACCCAGACTCAATGGCACACAAGACACCCAATTAGCTAACAAGGAGTCTGTTTTTATAACGACGTATATTCAGGAAAAGGAAAATCACTATAGAGGTTTGAGTGGCAGTTCTATCTGAAATTTAAAAGCACTAAAGTGCAAACCCTTGGCGAACTGCGCATGCAAAATAGCGCTAATTGATGGGCTGGGCTGGGCTATTAGTATGCGTTTACTCGTGGTCTCCTGCTACTAGCTCACAGAGAGTCTGCTACAGCAGTAGATACCATGCGGGAGTCGATACACGACCTTCGTTGTGACTTCTTGTGCCTTCAAGATACACAGAGAGTGCGAACCCGCTCGAGGGAAGCCTGTTCTAATTAGCATATTGACTTTTTCGCTCGTGTTTCACGCCATAACTCTCAAACACAGCAGTTTGAGAGAAAACCCTACAAATTTTTCGACCTATACCCGAACGCTGAGTACGTACCGTTTGTGGAGCGATTCAGGCTCGTGAAGTGAGATGTCGGGAACGGACAGACACACACGACAACTACCGTAACCCTCGCTGCGCATGTGTGCCGAGGGTTAATCATCTTTAAAGACTAAGTGGCCCTTCACAGTGTAAAGATGTTAAGTACCATCTACCTTGCCTCATTTACAACCAAATTCTGACAATGCTCAAGTCCTCCATGGGGATTGTAGCCGTCATTTTCACCTGCACAGCCAACCATTCGTGGCTTTGAAGTGCAGCTTGCCTAGAAGGGTAACCAAGTGGTTGGCTTTCTCTTCCAGCACTGCGGTGGTAACAAGCGTGTCTCTCGCTCAAGCATCAATGAGTCACTTGTAGAATGCTTGTTCTACGCCGTAGGCCTTGCTGGGTCGCTTTCGTTTTCAAAAATAGGATCAGTGCTTTTCCTGCTCTCTCGAAATGGTGTCTTTGGTCTCGCGTGATGACATTCTCAAAACACTTGTCTATATTAGTTTTGCACCAGCTTTTCTCGTGGACTAGTTTAAAACTTTCTGGTGAAGGTCAGATCAGTGTGTTTTCATCCTGCCAAGCATCTCGTAGCCCATGGTGGTCGAAGACTGAGTCCGTACGTGGCCACGTGTCGAAGTTGCAATGTGCGCATGTCCAATATGACAATAAGCGGGGGTTGTACCAGAGTGGCCAGTTATCTATATTGTAATAGTCAGGATATGGATGACATACATCCGCGTATTCTATAAACTTGAGTAAAATGTATGGGAAGTATGAAAGCATAGCAAATTGATTCAGGTTTGCATCATACAAACGATTTAGCGATATGATATTAAGTGGGACCCACTGTCTGCAATGGCCAGTACACTGGACTCGTGTAGCGTACAACATATGTAGTGCACGAAGCACTGTTTCCCCTATGATGCCAACGGTGCATGTGAGTAGCACACACAGATAGGTAACTCACGTTTGGCAAGCCACTTGTTTCTGGCATCTGTATATGCACCACACGTTTTTTGTTTATGTGATGACTTAGTGCTTTTTCTGCTTTGGCCATATTGATTATTATGTAGGTGTGGATCTTCCTGGAGGTACTGCCAGTTCCGTTTAGCTGACTCTGCCTGGCCATCAGCCCAGTGACGTGTACAATTTGATGACACAAGAGTGATAGTGGAGCTAGTGAGGCTTATAAAATTTGGAGCCTTGAGACTGGCAGTAAGCTGCCGACATGACCGTGTATAACAGCTATACTTAACCGGTTATAGTGCGTGTAGAACAATTGATGGATTTTCAGCTCAGAAGGAACACAGGAGTAATACGTAAGCCATTTCTACATACCAAATATTATGTTAATATAACGTACAAAATAAATCTATTTTAAATGCATTTCAGCGAATCACGAAGCACGCCCGCTTGTCTGGTTTTGCACAAGTGGTCCAGAGTCTCACCCACAGCTGCACTGTAAACTGCATATCTTGACAAACCTTTCCCCTCTAGCTTGTTCATAAGTCACATGAGTTTCTCCAGGTTTAGACCAGAGTAGAAGGACTCAACCTTACTTGGTATATCATAGTACGTAGGATAGTCGATCACAGGTGTCCGTATTATGCCCATACTCGAGATTTTCCTCTTTCGCTTTCAGTTTCAGCATCACAGACAACTTCTTTGATGACACATCAGACTGATCCGTCATTAATGTCACACATGTATCAAGAATGGCTTATATCACAAGCGGGTCGGTAGTTGATATATCATCTAAGTCCGTATGTATAACTATCGTAGTCAATAGTACTTAGTATATAGGGATGACACAGGTTGTCCTGCATTATGCCCATACATTGGGATTTTCATGTTTCACTTTCTATGCAATCACGATCCACAAATTTCTTTGAGACACATCAGACTAATTTGTATCGTCGCAATAGCATGATCCACGAGAAATAGCTGTATATCTGCATATCGGTAACTTGATTTGTTCAAAACGGTCAATTTCTCTTCTTGTGGTGTTGTGTTGTGTTCAGTTTAGACCAGCGGTATCTCAAAACCCAGGTAAAATATGGAGATCAAACTTGCACAAGATTGCGAATCCATGACTGGTCGTGCTAGAGCATTTTATTTCTATCTTATTCCTTCGTACAACAATTTGTTACTTGTTAAATAGCAACAATAGCCCAGGCAATACATTATATCGAGGCCATAAGTGTGCTAACTGGTAAAGCTAATACCAGAGTCATAAAACTTTGTATACACATGCAACCACAATCATTCGTAGTACCGCGAAATGTAATAAAAACTTGTAAATGTGTGTGCCCATAACTTGCTTATGTGGTCCTCTAATCAATGAACTAGATTTACACTGATGTACCATGCATGAGAGTTGATTGAACGAAAGTACAAGTTGTGAACACAACAAACAGCCCCAGCAATAAAAACTTGCTAAAAATTTATGCCTATAACATTAACATTATGGTGGGACGTCCTAACAATGAAAATGGTACATCTGATGTTCATGATTACGAGTTCATCGAAACGAAATTACAAGATGGTACACAACACCAACAAACAGCCTCAGGCAATAAAATGAGTTGTTGCCCATAACTTACATCTTGTGTCCTCTAACTACGCAACTTGGTACACTGATTACAACGATGAGAGTTCATCGAAACATAAATTACACAAGTTTGTAAAACAACACAACAGCCTCAGGCAATAAATAGTTGTGTAAATGATGTTTGTGCTGTAAACTTGCTTACTTGGGTCCTCTAACAATGAAATTGGTACACTGATGTACTATGATAAGAGTTCATTGTAAACATGAATTACAAGTTTGTAAACACAACAACAAACAGCCTCAGGTAGCAAGTGTCTGTTTACAACATCAAACAGCCTCAGGCAATTAAGTGCTGTTTACAACGTCCAACACAGCCTCAGGCATTACCTTTTTCATTTTCTGTTCCAAACAGGCTTAAAATTAACTGTGTAGTTTTGACGTATTGACAAATAACTCTTGCAGAAACTGACATCGATTTCAATGTTTGTGCAAAGTTTAATCCCCCTTTTTAGGCTTGTGGGGCTGTTTTACCAGTACACAATCCAGTCTCTTTGAAATGGCTGGTTTCACAAAATCACATGCAGCTAGAGAAAAAAAGGATAGCATCATCCAATATTTTCGCGTTAACACCGTACGCGCTCTTCACTGCTAGTTCGGGATGGGAACTGGCATAAACCAATGGGAAATGACATTTTTGGTGATTAGGCCACAGTATACAGATTAATTGCAGGTGTGATTTAGCACCAACTCTCTTTGCAGCTGAGGTGTGGTCTAGAACCCACTTACATGACGGTTTGCCTGCACAACTCCTCGCGTGCGGGTCTCGCTTGCGAGAGTACAATACCTTCACTTCTCTGCAGAGGTCTTTTAGAGCAGTGTATAGGATATTTCTATTTTTCACAACTACACACACGGATGTTAACGTTTTTGAAAGGGTTTAGAACGTACGGTATATGAAGGGTCCCCGTCGCATACAACAAAAATGTGCATTCCGACTACTAGGTTCCTCTCTTCGCTCGCCAATAATTGTTAGCTAGTTTCTTTCCCCTTCGTTTAATTTACTGAACATGCCATGTATTGTTTTGCAGGAAGATCCAATGTGCGATGTTATCCCTACGCCTGTTGTTGTGGAGTATGCTTTTCAATACCCGGATATGGAGAAATGTCCTCAGAGTATGATGGACATTAATCAATTCGATCCGATAAGTGTTACAATTCCAACAAACGGTACTGCACAGAATGTACTGGAAGCATCAGTTGGTGTTGGCACAGCATATCGCTTTACAGCAACTTACTTTGGATCCACCTTGGGCTACTTTATTGATGCAATAAATGGTACATCTTCAGACAATCCCTGTTACTGGTTCTTCTATTACCAAGCACCGGGACTTCCAAATCCAGTGCTCTCCAATCTTGGTGTGTCCAACTTCATCATTCCTACAAGTGGTTACTCCATATTTATGCGTTACGAAGAATTTAAGGAGGAACATGATTCTGAAGCTCCTGCGAACAACACAGTATGTTGAAATACCGTACATTCTGACACTATTTCATGTAGAGTGAAGGAAAGCCAGATAAGCATGTACTGTATGCTGCTAGCTATCTCTATTTTGGGATGGTAGGTACCTTGTTTTCCAAAAAAAAGCAATCTCTGGGTATGTACGGTATGTGTTCAGTGTGTGTGTAGCTTGTTCGCACCAGCCCCGGTAGGTGCGGCATGGTCAAAAGTGTGAACGGTAAGGGATGCCTGTGCTTCGTAGAGGGGTGGGCAGTGCTGGCAAAAGAGTTTTGGACATATCCTAATGTGTATAGTTACATTATCTTGATATTTTATAAACAACATGTATCCTGAGAAAACCGGTGCAAATGGTATTACGTGGACCCTTTCTTCGATGGTCTGGCCCATGCAAAAACCTTTGTTAGCTGAGCACAAAAAACGCACACGTACTTCTTGCGCTTCGGCGTAGGTGTATGTTGTGACTCACTCTCTTTCTTAGCTTCGGACGATTCGCGCTCATAGCCAGTAGACGACGACGTGCCAGCAGACGTTCCTGCTTCTGTCATCTCCGACATGATGTAAGTCTCGCGGGAACGGGGCCAGACATTCCGCGGGGGAAGGGAAACCTTTCCCCTTGGCCCCGCGAGACTACTCCCCGCGTACCTCCTGCGCACGAGCGTGAAAAATCCGAGCAAAGTACACGTTCCGTCCGACACATACTTAGAGGATCGAAAATCCAAAGTAGTCAGACTAAATCCGAAACTTTGGCAGCATTGGGTGGGGTCTTTGAACGGAACGTACCCACCCGTGCCCTGGGGCCTCGAGGAGGTTCAATAGGGTCAGATTATGTGCACCATGGAGTGAGCATTCGTTTTCACCTGCGATGTGTGGAAATAGTCAGTTTTAGTAATTTTTAATGCATACTGGCTACTCGCTGAAACCTAAAAAGGCTATGTTTCTACGTGAGATAGATGAGAATAACTGCAGTCCCAGTACTTCGGTATATTAATATTATGCAACTAAGGCCAGAAATGCAGCAAGAAAAAAAATTTTCTGCGAATTATAAAGTGTGGAATATGGGGATGCCAAGGAGACAAGACTGGGATGACAAGGGCATGTGATGCAGAGTACAATGGGATGATTGTTACATCTTCAAACTGACATTTGTTGCTCATGTAAATTTTAGTCCACACAAGCCCTATAATTATTGTCGCCACTCTTACTCATGACATGAGTTTTGAATAATGGAATGTGAAGACCGGCAAACGAATTATGTACGGAAAGCAGCATTGTCAAACCGGTTAGTTGAGCAAACAACACTGTCACGATTCAATTTGAGGACCTGTCAGAGAGGGCATTTGCTACTACAAGTCTTATATACATGCATAGGAAACGAGTCATATGTAGCTGCACATCATACCGTGGAGATCACTCGTGCTTTGCGACAATATAGGGCTTGTGTGGAGTAAAATTTACATGAACAAGAAATGTCAGTTTGAAGATGTAACAATCACCCCATTGTACTCTGCATGCATCACATGCCCTGGCCATCCTTGTCTTGTCTCCTTTCTTTTTATGGCATCCCTATATTCCACACTTTTCCAATTCGCAGAATGTTTCGTTTACTTGTTTCCTTTCCTTTTTTTACGGTATGCACATTCATTGGGGCATAATGTCCATATAAAAAGTAACATGTATTTATTGCCTCGGACTGTTGTTGTTTACAAACTTGTAATTCTTGTTTCAATGAACTCTTATCGTAGTAAATCAGTGTACCAAGTTTCATTGTTAGAGGATCCACAATAAGCAAGTTACAGGCACAAACATCATTTGCAAGTATTAAATGCCTGAGGCTGTTTGTTGTTGTTTACAAACTTGTAATTCATGTTTCAATGAACTCTTATCATAGTAAATCAGTGTACCAAGTTTCATGGTTAGAGGACCCACAATAAGCAAGTTACAGGCACAAACATCATTTGCAAGAATTAAATGCCTGAGGCTGTTTGTTGTTGTTTACAAACTTGTAATGTCTGTTTCGATGAACTCTTATCATGGAACATCAGTGTACCAACTTTCATGGTTAGACGTTCCACCATAAGCAAGTTATAGGCAATAATATAGTTTACAAGGTTTTATTGCCTGAGGCTATTTGTTGTTGTCAACAAACTTGTAATTTCTGTTTCAATCAACTCTCGTCATGGTACATGAGTGTACTAAGTTTCATTGTTAGAGGACCCAAGTTGTACGCACAAACACATTTTACAAGTTTTTATTGCCTGAGGCTGTTTGTTGTTGTTTACAAACTTGTAATGTTTACATTTTGATACTAGTGATGGGTTGTATTTGTGTACAAAGTTTTATCACTCTCTGTAGTAGCTCTACCCAGTTAGCACACTCTATTTGTCTCTATAATAATGTATCGCCAGGGGCTATTTTTTGTTGTTTACATGTAACCAAAATTGTCTACGAAGAAATAAAAATGCTCTTGCACGACCTGTCATGGATTGCAATCTTTGTGCAAAGTTTGATCTCCATATCTTAACTGGTTTTTGAGATACGCTTGTTGAAACTGAACAACAACAACAAGAAGAAGAAAATTGAAAAGTGACTTTTTTGAACAAATCAAGTACCGATTATGCGATATAAGCTATTTCTTGGATACATGCTATTTGCGACGATACAAATTAGTCTGATGTGGCAAAAATTGGATCTGATTGAAATAGAAAGTGAAACATGAAAATCTCAATGTATGGGCATAATGCAGGACAACCTGTGTCATCCCTATATACTAAGTACTACCGTACTTAGTGATCTCCTTTCTACAATCGTTGCTTCTAGTGTAGTTCTTCCATACCGTGTCTATACTGCCTTAAAGTCAGCTACAAAAGTGTGTTACTTTGTAATAATGTATACATGATCCAAAGCTTGTGTGAATCTCGCATTTGCTTGCTATAAAAAATTGCCGCTGTTATAGCTAAAACACATGGTAGTTACAATTGGTGGTGGGTACTATACTGAAACTGGGGCACTTTGTAAGAGTAGCGTTTGTTACGTATGGTTAACCCACAGGCACTAATATTATTATGACCGAAGCCGTTCACCGTCCTGTGCGAGGGCGGACTGAGCCCGAGGATGGTATACAGTTGAGTGGATATAGTATCCAGTACCGCGGAAGCACGCCGTTTATAACCATTTTGTAGCCTGGGAACAAAGTACCAATTATGTGATTTAAGCTATTTCTTGGATACATGCTCTTACGATACAAATGTGTCAAAATTTGGATCTGATTGAAATAGAAAGTGAAACCCGAAAATCTCAAATGTATGGGCATAATGCAGGACAACCTGTGTCATCCCTATATACTAAGTACTACCGTACTTAGTGATACTGCATTCGATGAATTAAACTCAGCTTGGCTTCCTGATCGGAACCTCCCTTTCCTAGGCCGTAATTTTACAATGCGCCGCTTGACAGGGTGCTTATTAAGTCAACCAAGCATCATAGATATATGGAGCATTTGAAGTTTTGTTCATCTTCTTCTTCTATTTCCAATATAACCAAAACAGATGAAGCCGTGGAAATTTGCAGGACCGTATTTATCGATAAGCACATGTGCAACGTCATGCTTATTTAAACAACAACAAATAGCCATAGGGAATTGATTATTATAGGGACACATGTGTTAGTGTAACTAACAAATGGCAAGTGCTATGCTTTGTGTACACTGTGTATTCGGTGACCAGGTTTTTGTTTACAAAAACAAATAGCCTCAATCTGCAATAGTGATTGCTTAATACTTAACCTAGGCAACAATATAGGCGCGTGCGGCCCAGAACATCGAAGGGCATCACAGACCTGTTATTGTCCCTCTAAGAAGTCGACCGGGATTGTGTGATGGGATCGGGGTTGTCAGCATGCTTAAATCTTTTCATTAACCATGCTTCATGTATCCCATCCATATATATCTTGTCTCCATTTCATTTTATACCATCCCTATAATGATATGCCTCCTTTTTAAATTCGCTGGACTTTTATTTTACTTGTCTCAACTCATACTTCTACGTATGTCTCTGTGAAAGGGGCAAGCCCCTATGAAAAGTAATAATGGAGAAAAATAGTTGTTGTTGTATACGAACGTGTGGTTGTCATGGAAATGATGTAGCATGCATGCGTTCCTAGTTTTATCTGTATGTGTTCTACCATTAGCAAGTTTGAGGATTGAAGAAGTACAATTCCTGAAACCAGTTGTTGTTGTTCCAACAATGTGTGGTTGTCATGGAAACGATGTACTACAAGTGCGTACAAGTTTCATCTCTATGCGTCAGCAATGATAAAATATAATTGCCGAGCGCATTAGTGCGAGGCAACTACTCCTGGTTGTATTCTCGCGATATGCATAGGTACGTACGTACGTGTCGGCCACGCTTAAGAATGTCAATTAGTCACGTTTAGGGAATGTCAATTAGTCACGCTTAGGGAATGGCAATTAGTCACGCTTAGGAATGTCAATTCCGCCGTGCGCGCAGATTCGTAGAAAGTCTGGCTTCGCGCGCAGTCAGTAGAGCGCGTGCACGAGCGGCCTCAGTCGGACTGTTTACGCATTGGCTGGCAGGCACGAGGCAAAATATGTGCGTGCGCATTCATATTTTTAAAGAAGAGTTTTTGAGGCTATTTGTTGTGTTATCTATGCATTGAAACGATGTAATACACATGCGTACCAAGATTCATCGATATGCATGTTATATACTGTTGGCAAGTTTGGAGGAGTGAGGTAGAAATTTCAAATTCAAGATAATATCTTGAGACCATGTGTTGTTGTCTACAAACATGTAGGTTAACATGCAGTCGTTATGGAAATGAGTACAATGTTTTTGTCAGTGCAAGGTACCGTTGGCAAGTTTGAGGAGTAATTTTTAAAAAAGCTTCCCGAGGCTCTTCACAAACATATACAGTATTTGTGGAAATTTTCTTTCAAACTTGCAAACGCTCAGTGCATATGGAGATGACAATTGGTACGCATGAGTAATT